GTACTTATATTTACAATACAATGTTTGTTTTACAATCATAAATTATTTATTGATAAAATTTATCTATATAAAATAAAATTAAGTAGCTATACATATTTGAATTCATAATTTCAAAATATAAAGAAATAATTTTACTATTCAAATCTTATATGAAATTTCATTTTTAAATTTGAATTTAAAATTTATGCTTCAAAAGCAAAATTTTATTTAATAATACTTTATTTTGTATAATAGTTATGTGAAAAAGAACATTTGTACCTCACATATTTATTTAAATTTTTATTTAAATAATTTTAATTATCTGTATTTAAATAATATAGGATTTCATTGGAACATACTATATGTATGCTCTCATATTATGTACTTTTGCTAGTTTATATTTGATATTTTCGGTATTACAATTATGAAGAATTTGTTATATAAGAAAAAATAGTATAAAGCTATGCAAATTTTTTTATAAATCTGAATTTCCGTGATATCTTTGTTCCTCAACAATAATTTATGAAATTTGTAATATATATTTAATTTTTAAATCTACATCAAATTATACTTAATCAAAGCAAAACAATTAAAACTTACCTAATTTTTAAATATGGAACAAGTAAAAGATTTTTACATTTTATATTGGCGCCTGATCATGGACTCACATTAAAAATATTGTAAATATGTACATACATGTATTCATTTAAACAAATTATGTAATATACATATTTATATTAGCTTTTTAGCTAATATATATTGACGCCTGAGGTGGACTCTCATTAAAAATAATGTACATACTGCAAATACTAATGCCTTTGAACTAGATAATATAATATGTAAATTTATATTTCTACTTTAGCAATTAAATTAAATTCCCATAGGCAAATGTAACATTGTTTTCTATTAAAAAAAAAATTATTATTTGGCATTCTTCTATATAAATGAGCTCGTTCATCTCATATAGAAGACAACCTGAAAAAATATTCAAGTGACTATAAATTCAATTAATATCATTTATATTTAATTAATAAACTGCATATTGAAAACAAATTGATTTTAAGAGTGCAAAATAAAAAAATATTTCAAATATTACACACATGGATACGTATATGTGTGTAATATTTGACATTCATATGTATAAAAATTCGATTAAATTGGTATATTTTTAAATTAAGAATTATGATATACATATATGTATATACACACCAACCTACTCTATGCATATACAAATAATATAGAAAAAAAATAAAAAAAATTTTCGACAGTTCATATTTAAAATAAATTTTTTTATTTTGCTCTGTTAAAAGCATAAATTAAAAATTTATTAAAACCAATGTATGTACACATGTACATAAAATAAGAAAAAACATATGTATTTGTTTTTCTTCCTTAAACTCGACCACATTTACATACGTACATAAATAGTTTTTTTTTTTTTTTTAATTTTTGTATATAAATTCGGAAAATTTTATTGAGAAACCTTGACATTTAAATTCATTTTTTCGAAACAGAATTTTTAATATGTTTGCATTTTGAATTCAATATATTAAAAGTCATGTACATTATGTGTGTATGTATTTTAACAATTTGATCTTTTATGAGAGAAAACATCAAAATGTTTTTAAAATTAAATTTGTCTAGAAATGTATGTATGTATGTGGTTTATTATTGTTACAAAAATAAGAATTATATTAATTTTATGATTAAAATTTAAAAAAAAAATTATTTTACATAGAGTAGTTTTGCGAGAAATTAACGCATTATAAGAAATTAACCCAAAATAAATTGTCACGATTCTCAAATAATGTTTGAATGGTTTATTTTGAAAACGACGAAATGAATTTGAAATCTCAAAACTCTCTTAATTTCCTAATTATCTTAATACTTGGGATTGAAAAATACGTAGAAAAATATATACATACATATACAAAATATTATTAATCATATAAAAACACTCAGATTTTTGAATTACTTTGAAGGTAAACTTTGCAAACTCTCAATAGCAATAAAATTAGACATTGCCAACTTTCAAAATAAACAATACAGAGATTTTTTTTAAAATAAAGTCACAACTAATTTTTTAAAACAAAAAAATCTTTTTTTTCAAATATAAAAATCTTAAACATTTTTCCCTCCAGTGGCAAAAATTTGTACCATCTCAAGTTTAATACTCCCCATCACTACTTTAAAATCTCTCAAAAAGTTAAAATCAAAACCTACATCTTAATAGAGAGAGAGAAGTCTAATAAAATTTTACAATTTAAAGATGGTTTTTTTTAGTGTCATAAAATTATATAGCCCTAGAATGCTGCCGTTATAGTAAATTAAGCAAAATATTATAGTTAAACAAAAAACAAAAGAAAAATATTTTTTCAATTCATTTTAATGAAAATGAGCTTAATTTTTTATTTAAAGCATGATAACAAATTTAAATAAATAACCAAAGTTTTTTAAGAACTGCTGGCATAGTAACAAAAATATAATATCCACATTATAATTTATGATTTAATAAAATTGTGAGAAAAATTTGAAAAATTCCCCAAATATTTCATAAAATAAAAATATTATCAATTATCAAATTTTTATTTTTTTTTTTTTAGTTCATGCTTAATAAAGAATAATTTTCAATTTCGTTGACAAAAAACAAAATGAAAAAGCAATAATATATAACAGTATAATACTAATAAAATATCTAAATTTCTAATTCAAAAAAATTTCACTTAATTTAAATGTGGCACATCTCTTGTCGAATCATTTATTGCCAATCCTCATAACAGGAGCCTTACTAAATAATTCGGTTACGGAAATATGGTAAGGCAGTACCAATCAATTTGTATAGTACTAGCTTCCTATTTCTGCAAATACGAAAATCGAATAACATAGTAAGGCCCTATTCAAAAAGAACTGCTAATAAAAATTAAAGCTGAGAGCAAATTTTTTAAACAAGATTATACTGTAAATTATTTTAGTAACCTTAATTCAAATTGTCTACTCATAAGTATATTGCTTTTATTTTTTAACATATATCAGCATAAAATATTTAATTGAAATCAATTAAACGATAAAATAAAAATTTATTAAATAGTTTGAATCATTTTTGTTTTCTTAAGAAGTTTAAAGAAAAAAATAAAAAATACGAAGAGTTACTCGCTAATGTTCTTTTCTTTCTATTTATTTTTATAAAAAATTTTTACTATTATACTTACGTATGTATGTAGATATATTGATATTGTAATTATTATTTATCCCAATTTTATTTACCAACTAAATTTATTTGAAAATTGATTATTTTCCTTCTTACTCAGACTGCCACACGTTTTGAACCAAGTTCATTTAGGAGAATTACCGATTAGGTTAGGTTGACTGGTAATATAAAATTGTACACTTAGGCCGATGGCTTTCGATATCTCCATGCTCAATTGAACCAGTTTAAATTCCTGACATTTACATTTGTCAGGTGTGTAACTCGCAAAAAGAAATAAGAAATTTCAAAATATTGTCCTATTTCAAGTATCATACTAAATTTATTTGACATTTATTTACAATTGATGACGTTATAAGTATATCAGATTATTTCTTAATTTCTTTTTTCTCTTGTTCATTTTTCCGACAATTTATTTGAGCTTCAAGTTTACTTTTACTGGCAAGTTATTTAATGAAGAAATAAAGAATGAAGTGTAAAAGTAACATCATGGAAACGACTTCTAATGTCAATAGCCTTAAATAAATATAAATGGCAACACATAAAAATTAGCTCACTATATACATAGCTCACATATTTTATTTCTATTAAAAATCGTGTTAAATTTCTAAATAAATTATGAAATAGAAAATAACAAAAAGAAAAGAAATTTTTATCGCTTCTTACATAATATGTAAATTGAAACTTGACTAACTACCTGTCTATTAAATTTCTTAAAAAAATTTTGCATATTAATATCGTAAATGAAATTCTATATAAACACATACATACATATGTACATAGGTAAGAAAATCCATTAATAATCGAAAAAAATTTGTAATTTATAGGAAAAACCAAAACCACAAGTTTAATTTTACTGCAATAAAATACGAGTACGTTTTTTTAGTGAATTTTAATACGATTCATGTAAAATACTTACATGTGTTTTAAAATCGACGATTAGTAGTGGTTTAAATTTTTGAAATAAATTTTTAATAATTTTTTTTTTGTTTTTGAGAAAATTAAAATGTTTATTTTATTAAACTTATAAGTTTAATTTTTTGTGTCATTCAACAAAAATAATCTTGACACTCATGGCATTATTTAATATTTTTTATGTTCTAAAATAATTGTTGCGATAACAGTTTTATTGTTGAGAATTTAGTAAGAAAAAATACAAACAATACAAATAATATGGCAGTCAGACAGAAAGCTTATTTAATTACAAAATTCAATCGGATTCAAATTACAATCGTTTTGGTTAATTTCATGATTTACGTTGCTTATATCTGGATTTTTCTTGTAAAAAAGTTTAGTTTTAAGAATAAATTTTACTTTCACGCGAGTCTTTAACTTATGTATGCATGTTGAAATTGGAAACAGTGAATAAAATCAAATTGCTAGTTACATCTTACTTGTGCCTTTGCTTTTACAAATAAATTTCATAATTAAATTGAAAACTTCTTTAAAAGTTCCTCAAGTTGATTTAATTGATTTATTCCTCAAAACCTTTTGCGTCAAGTATAAGTAAAAGTAATTTAAAAATATTGATTAATCTGAAGATTTCTGCAGCAAACTTTTCTAAAGTCTAGACCCTATCCTTAATTATTGGCATATTTAGATTTGTTTTTTTTTTTTATATTGAATTATTCTTTAGGATTAAAGGTCAATGCTATTAAAGCTAAAAAGAAAAGAATTATTTACGAATTATTGCAAATCAATTTAAATTAATTTTATTTTTAAAATTATATATATATATATTTTTTTTTGTTTTAATGTAATGTTAATGTTAAATAAAAATTAATTTTCACTTATTTTCTTTTATTATTAAAAATAGAAACACGTTCATCATGTTACGCTGTTTTAAATAGTGGAGAAGATGATGAAATGCAAATAACTGGTTATCGTAGATCTATATTAAAAACGATATTATGTTATATTGGCGTTATATTAACTGGTGGTATATTACGTTTGGTAATGCATTGGTGGAAACATTGGTATGTTCTTGCAACACATTCAAAATGTCCATTAGATCAAGCTGAAAAAATTTTAATATTGGAAGATTATCAGGGTAAACATCAAATATATTATGTCAAAGATGTTATCACATTAAATTTGGAAACAGTAAGGTGAATTAATAAAAAAAAATTATATTTTGACATTTTGTAATGTAAAATATTTAATAAATAAATTTTATTTATTTATTTTAGGGAAATGAAAAAGAAACCAGAAAAATGGGAAAAACATTTTCCAATACATGATACATTTGATGAGAAAGAATTTTATTTATCAATACATTTTTCATCTGGAAGTTTTAGGCGTAAGTTTTATTTATTTGCTTCTTGAATATTCTATTTTTCTAAGTTTAGTAATTCAATTTAAAAATTTTTTACAAGTTAGTTTGTAAATTATCACTCAAATTAATATTGTAGATACCGATTCAATAAAATTGTTTCGTTGCAAACAATTACGTTATATATGGGATATACAAACTCAATCATTTCAAAAACTTCAAGGATTAGATGTTAATTTAACAAGTACAATATTACATCAACGTAAAGGTTTAACAGAACAAGAACAATTATCAAGACGATTTGTATATGGTATAAATGAAATATCAGTTCCAATGAAAGGAGTAATGACATTATTATTTTTGGAAGTATTAAATCCATTCTATGTTTTTCAAATATTCTCAGTTTGTTTATGGTTAGCATACAATTATTATTATTATGCAGCTGTTATTGTTTTGATGTCAGCATTTGGTATTATAATGTCAATATTACAAACTAAAAAGGTAAATTATATATTTACATATTTTAAATAATTTTTATTTAGAAAAGTAACTAATTAATTATATTTTTATATGATCATCATATATGTATATGCACATATGTCTATAATTTTCAAAATTATTAAAAATATAAGACCATGATTTTTAATTTACCCAAAAAAGCTTACAAAATATTAAAATCTAATTCAATTTTAAATTATATCTTATAGACTCCGAATAATATTTTATTTTTAAATTGTATTTTTAGAATCAAGATGCATTACAGAATACAGTACATAATAGTGATTGCGCTCTAGTTGTCTCTGAGAATGGTGAAATTCATAATACTGAAACAAGAAATTTAGTTCCTGGCGATATAATTGAAATACCATCAAGTGGTTGTTTAATGCAATGTGATGCTGTTTTATTATCAGGAAATTGCATTTTAGATGAATCAATGCTAACAGGTTACACAAAAAAAGAATTAATTTTTAAAAATTTTAAATATGTTAAAAAATACGTTAAATAATTAAGTTTACCCTTATTATATTAATAGTTTCATATTAACCATATTGGATTGACAAATTTAAAAAAAACGACATTTTGTTTATAAATCTTACTACTTATTTGCTATCCCTAACATAATTTAAATTTTTCTAAATTAAGCATCAGTTTTAACTAATATTAGAATTTTTTAATAATCTTCAGGTGAAAGTGTACCGGTTACAAAAACACCTTTACCACTTAAACGTGATTTACTGTTTGATAAGAAAGAGCATAGTCGTCATACATTATTTTCTGGTACAAAAGGTATGTTAAATAATATTATATTAAAATATAATTTCTTTTTTTGGTTATAAAAAGTATGAGACTATAATTTTTTTTTATAATTTCAGTTATGCAAACACGTTATATTGGTTCCGAAAAAGTATTGGCTGTGGTAATAAATACAGGGAATATTACAGCTAAAGGTGGTTTAATACGATCTATATTATATCCACCTCCGGTTGACTACAAATTTGAACAGGATTCATATAAATTTATAACACTATTGGCAATTATTGCTGGACTTGGTTTTGTTTATACCCTTGTTACAAAGGTATTTAAAATAATTGTAAATATGAAAAATATATAAAACATTTTTCAATTTTTTGTAGATACAACGTGCCGTGAGCGCTACAAAAATAGCAATTGAAGCATTAGATTTAATTACGATTGCTGTTCCACCAGCTTTACCAGGTATGAAATTTTGAATGCATTAGAATATTGTATTCTTAATTGATAAATTTTCTCTATAGCGGCAATGACGGTAGGACGTTATTATGCACAAAAACGTCTGGAGCGTAGTAATATCTATTGCATCTCACCAAGAACAATAAATGTATCTGGTAGTATTGATTGTGTTTGTTTTGATAAGGTATTAAAATATTTTGACATTTTATTTCATGGATATAATTATTATTATTTTTTGATTTTTAGACTGGAACTTTGACAGAAGACGGTTTAGATATGTGGGGTGTTGTACCAAAATCATCAACAAATCAATTTCAGATACCTTTAAAGCAAATCGAACGATTACCACACGATCATTTATTAAAAGGAATGGTAACATGTCATTCGATTACAATCATGAATGGTGTAATGAAAGGTGATCCGTTGGATTTAAAAATGTTTGAATCTACAGGATGGCAACTAGAAGAAGCAAATGTTGCTGATGATAATAAATATGATTTATTGTTTCCAACAATTGTTCGGAAACCAAAATCAAGTAAATTTTTTCTTAATTTAATTTTGTAATTATTTTATTAGTTAAATTTTTTAGATTCTTTATCAAAGCTGACGACTGATAGCACTGACAATATATGTATGGAAAGGAACTTTGATACAGCTTTATTACCATCAGCTCAATCAGTGAATTCTTTCGAAGAAGATATAATATCGCAAGCTGATGATATTGGTATTGTCCGTGAATTCCCATTTTCATCAAATTTACAACGAATGTCTGTGATAACACGTCGTCTAGGGGATAATCATTTCAATGTGTATTGCAAAGGAGCACCAGAGATGATACAATCGTTATGTAAATCAGAATCAGTTCCTGATAATTACTTACATCAATTGGATATATATGCACAACAAGGTTACCGTATCATATCAATTGCTTACAAACCATTAGATAAGAAAATGACATATCCAAAAGTTCAAAGAATTGCAAGAGATAAAATCGAATGTGATTTAGAATTTTTGGGTTTTGTTATATTAGAAAATCGTTTGAAGCCAGATACAACTGATGTAATACACAGTTTAAATATGGCTAACGTGAGGACAATCATGGTAAAAAAAAGATTACATAAGTTTTATAACAGGTTTTTACAAATATTTTTTTCATATTCAGGTGACAGGAGACAACATATTGACAGCAATAAGCGTTGCAAAAGATTGCGGAATGATACCTAAACATCAAAGTATTATTACAATAAATACTAAACCAGCTGCTACTGATTCAGGGAAATACGAACTTTATTATACTCTATCTGGAGCGAACGTAAATCCTACTAACCCTGCAATAACACCAAATGGAAATGGTGACATTACATCGTATATGACAAATAGTAACAGCGTAGCTAGTCTTGAAACTGTAGACACATGGACTTGTGCACAGCGTGATGTGGAATTAGGAGGAGATGGTATCGGTTTCAAGAGTGATATGACTCCATCAACCACAATTAAAGGATCTCTCTCAGCTATAACGCCCTCATCTATTACTGCCAAACCTTTAATTGATCAGTCTCCGAACGATTACTTGCTCAACAACTATCGTTTCGCTATGGTCGGGAAAACTTGGGCCATTGTACGTGAACATTTTCCAGATTTATTATCAAAATTTGTGACTCGTGGTACAATTTTTGCCAGAATGTCGCCAGATCAAAAGCAAGCACTTATATTAGAATTACAAAATTTAGGTTATTATGTAGCTATGTGTGGTGATGGTGCTAATGATTGTGGTGCACTTAAAGCAGCACACACAGGTATATCATTATCAGAGGCAGAGAGTTCTGTTGCATCACCATTCACATCGCGTAACCCAACAATATCTTGCGTTCCAAATGTTATTAAGGAAGGCCGTGCTGCGTTAGTAACATCTTTTGGTATATTTAAATATATGGCAGCATATTCTTTAGTACAATTCGTATCAGTTTTAATTTTATATTCGATTGATTCCAATTTAACAGACATACAGTTTTTATATATTGACTTGTTTTTGATATCTATTTTCGCATTCTTCTTCGGTCAAACAGGTGCATACGATGGTACGTTAGTTAAGCAACCACCTTTAAATTCATTGGTAGCCTTAAGTCCCATAGCATCTTTAATATTACATCTAACTGTTATAATAACAATGCAAACAATCGGTTGGTATCATGTACAAAGTGAACCATGGTTTGAACCATTTAATTTTTCAGCAACTGAAGATGAAAATGATTTAGCATGTTACGAAAATTATACTATATTTGTTATATCATGTTTTCAATATGTTATATTAGCGTTTGTGTTCTCGAAAGGTGCACCATATCGTCGTCCAATTACTTCAAATATTCCATTTTTATTGGCACTTTTAATAAATTTAGTAGTAATATTATATTTAACTTTGATTCCACATGAACCAATAGCAAATTTTTTCGAATTAAAGGTCCCAGATGATTTTAACTTTAGGGGATTTTTAATTGGCTATGGCGCAGTCAATTTTATTTTAGCAATATTTATCGAATGTTTTATTGTTGAATATTTATTATTTAAGAAATTCCAAAAATCTCAATTTTCAATCAATTATGAAAAACAACATCGCAAATATTTGCAAATGGAAGATGAATTAAAACATAATATGAAATGGCCCCCAATATCATACTATAATAGCGATATACAATCATCAAATTATGAAAATGGTGAAGATAAATCATCACCTATTTCTTATGCTGAAATAAGTGCTGAACATACTATTGATATGAAAGCACCAGAAAATAGTGTTTTAAATAACTTTTTTGAACAAACAACTAATCCAAATACAAAACAATTAGGAAATTTTCCACATACTGATTTAGATGATATTGATGATGTAACTGATTATGATGAAAATCAAGAACTTCCATTTAGTTTACCACAATCTGAATTATCGGATTACGAATCAGCTCAAAATATTTTATTAGAAAGTCCACAAAATTCTGGTAATTCAGAAAATTCTATACATGGAAAAGTCACAACAACTGAAAATAGTAGTAGTAATATTTATGATTCAACTGATGATGTTTATCATCCAACAATTGATAAATCAATTGAATCGTTAGGTGCTATTGATAAAACTAGTCATCAAAAAACTATAAATTCATCAAAAAAACATTTAAATTTAGACCAATTACATAGTAATAAAAGTAGTCCAACTATAAATATTCATGTACAAAATATTGATGAAAATCCTAAAAAAAGACAATGTGTTTCAAATTCATATAATTCTTTAAATAAACAACAGCGTCACTCACCGGTCAATGGAATTGAAATGACAAATAATGAATCAATTCTATTACAAAATCATCATAATCCAACAATAATAGGAATAAATTTATCAAATAAAAATTTAAATAAAAATATATTATCTGATACAAAAATAAATTCAAATGAATCAAAAAATTTATATCAAAGTGATGTTATTAATGGCAGCAGAACAAGCCGAAATTATGATGATTTTGGTGATGAAATTATTAACAGTTCTCTTGGCGATAATTCATGCAAAAATTGTAATATAATACAAAAAAATCAAATAAATTGTAAAAATAATATAAGTAATAATAGTTTAAGTGGTATTAATTTAAGTAATAATAATTGTCAGAAAGAAATAAATAATTTAGATATTATAGAAACAAAAATTGATAAAAATGAAGATGATAAGTTAAGCTGAAAACTACTTAAATTGATGTCAAAATTTTTATTATTGTTATGATATTTTTAGGAACGAAAAATAATTACTATACACATATATATATATTATATTAATTCTATCGGAAATAGAAAAAAATAAAACATTTAAAAAAAAAGGCAATAAATTAAATAATTTTTTTCTTTTTTTAAATGATTATTTATTGTTTTTCCAATTTTATGTTCAATTACTATTGTGTACTCGTAACTTACAAAACAAATAAATAAATTATTAAAAAGCCAAACTTATGTAAAACATTTCTTTTTAATTTCTTTTATTTTTATATACATACATATTATAAAACTAAAACTTGAAATTCGAAAATAGTTTAATGAAAAAATAAACGCATGTAAAACAAGAATTCGGTGAATAAAATAAAAGAAATAAATACATTTTTTTTTTAATTTACAAAATTTTAATATAATTTTTAATAATTTTTCATTTTCACAATTCGGAGTTAAATGATTTGTAAAAAAAAAAATGACACACCAAAAATTTTTTTACAATTTAAATTCTTTATATAACATTAAAATTCTATTAATTCTAACTCAGTAAATATCTCATCCTTATAGTTTATTAAATAATCCAAAATTCATTAAAATTCAATTTAAAAAAAATCATTTTTCTCTTCATAAATATAGAATAAAAAATATTTCAAAAGATAAAGATATAGGAAGAATTGAATAATCGGCGATAAAAAAAAAAAAATTTAATGTCATATAAATTAATTCAATATAATATTAAATTTTTTTTAAAATTTAAATATTATGGAAAAAACATGATTATAACTTGTAGGACCAATATATCATTCACTTAAAAATTTATCAAAATATTAAAATTTCTAAAATTACAATTTCAAAACTATTATGTTATTTTTCTATTCTATTTTTTGAGTAATAAATAAATTTTAAAATAGTAAATCATAATTTTCTTTATTAAAATAAAGTATAAGAAAGCAAATCAAGACGAAGACAACCTTATGTATAAAACCGTTTCAATATTTTCATACATTTTCTAGATTTTTAAATTTTCTTTTTTAGAATTTTCAATACTTTTTAATATATTGAGGGAACAATTTTACACATAAAAAAAAAATAAATAAATAAAACAAAAAAAAATAAGAAAATTTGTAACTGGAATGAACGAATATACGAATTCTTGAAAAAAAAAATAATAATTTGTTCTAATTCTTTAAAAAATAAAATATTTTTTTCATTTTTTTTTTCTTTTCTGTTTTTATAAAATTATTTAAAATTTTATATTTTTTATTTCTAATTTAAGATAAGCATTATATTCCTAAAAGATTTTCTTAGACGTAACACTTGAGTTAATAGAATATTATTCAAAAAATTTTATAATTTTTCAAAATGAAAACAATTTTGAAATTCTATACTGAAAAATTTAATAATTTTAAATAATATTCCATCACCTCAAGTAAAATATTTAAGAAAATATCTATAATTAATTTATATGATTAAAAAATTAGATAAGTTTATAAATACATATATACATAAAACGATGTTACATATTAAAGTATAAAAAAAAGAAGCCAAATAAATATTATTTCACATTAAAAAAAAACTAAATTAAAAATTAAATATTTAATTATACTATTTCTTATCAAAATGAAAATTAATAAGAATATCTCATAACATATAATTAAAAATATTTCTTCAATTATATAATATAATTAAAATATGAAAACAGAAAAGAAATTTTTAAAGAAAATTAAATTTTTCTTTTAGAGACCTCATCTCTCTAAACGTGAACATTTATAATATCGTATATAATTTAATATATTATTTGTATAAATTATAATATTTAATATTAATTTTGAGATTTAAATAAAAAAAATTATGATTTATTTTTTTTAATATTATCTTTAAATATACAATTTAAACAATTAAAAGAGAATTTATTCTACATTTTTTATTTACATATTGCACTCTTCTGAATTTTATTTTTTTTTTTTTAATTTTCTCTTCTTTTATTATCAATTTAGCTACAATTATTGAATTATATATGTATATATATATATATGTATAAAAAAAACCTTTGTTTTAAAATATTTAATGATTTAATTAGAAAAAATTATATTAAAAATCATGATTTAAATAAAAATATATTATATTTATAATAATAGAATTGAATTAATAAAATATTTTCATTCTATTTTATTATTGTAATACTATTAATTGTTATAAAATATTAAATGACACGCTAATTAATTAAATAATAATCAACACATAATATAGCACACATTCTGTAATTATTTTTAACTAATTAATTTTGTATTTTCCTCAGAACGAAAAAAAATATTCAATTTTAAACGAAAAAAAAAAATATAAAAGTCGTGATATCTCTATTAATTATAATATTTAAATATAATATTATATATACTACCTAAGTTCCTTTAAAGTACAATAAAAATACAAAAATAAATTTAAAAATTTCAAATAAAAAGCAAAAAAAAAAAATTAAATTAACAATTTGAAACAAAAAAATTAGAAATTCAATTTACAAAAAAGAAAAAAAAAACAGAGATATCACGAATTTGAAAATCTTCCTCACTAAAACAAAACTAAATAATTTGTTTTTAAGATATTCAATAAATAATAATTAAAATTATTTATCATCGTTTAAAAAACAGAAATAACTTAATCCAAAAAAAAATTTTCATATTGAAAGAATTGACTTAAAAAATTAAGAGTATACGATGGATAAATTACTAATGAATTTTAAATATCTTTTAAAAATATTGTTCATAAAAAAATTCATATTATTGCTGAAAACTGGAAATTTAAAAAAAAAACAAAAAAAAAAATGTACTTACTTTGTACTTTCTGCTTTTTAAACGAAGACATTTAATTATTGTAAAATATATTTTACTCAATGGTTGAGAGTAGAAAAAAAACAAACAATTTTTGAATTTTCTTTAAATATTTTATTAAAACAAATATTTTTTATTATATTTTATTTAGGCTTTTCTTATTAATTTTCAATATAACATGGCATAATGCAATTCAAAAAAAAAAATTATAATTATCGGTTTTATTTTCTCAAAAATTGGATTATCTTGTGTCATGGTCAGACCCAATTAATGTAATTGTAGCATTCACTAATTAGTTTCCAAGAAATTGCCAATTGACCGCCGGTACGAATGAATATTAGTAATTTATAAGTTGATATATAATATGACAGACAAATAAGTTAAATTATAAAATAATCCCAGTTATGTATAAAATTAATAACTTTAATTTTCACTAATTTATTACAATTTATACTAAACAATCAATGGTTTCATGTATACAAGTTAAGTGTTAACAAGTTATTTATCATTACCATCAATGAGGACTCGATTTGTACTTCGGATAGATTAAATTACCCTTTGGAAATACAATTTGATATGAGTTTTTTAAAATTAAGAAAAAATTTTTTTCTTCATTAGTTTCCTTTTTCTTATTTCAGAGTTAAATTATTTTTTAAAAAAATAAATAAGCATCATTTAAACAAATTGTTTTTTTTTTTTTTTGCTGTGAAAAGGTAACTATGAAGAAATACAGCTTTCTCTCATACAACAGGATGATATTTCTACCCTATACCCTATATGGCAAATATCAATACTTAATTGAATGTTATTAACAATTATATTATTACACCTCTAAAAATATTAATTCAGATATCTGAATAATTTGATATTCTATCACGTATTAGAACGACTATAGCATAAAATAATATACTATAAAAATTCTACTATTAATATTTAAATTAATAGATTTTTTATTTCCATGTAATTATTTTTTGTTGAAAAAATTAATTTTTTTTTTTTGCTGAATATCTGCCAATATAACAAAATAATTCTGTAATTGTTTTTAAATAATTTTAAATTATGTGTAATGCAAAATACATTATTATAGAACTTTATACAAAATATTATATAAATATAAAATTATTCACCTTTTTTGGGTATTATATTATAATAATTTATAAATATTATAATATAGAATTAATTAATTGTTAATTTTTAATATTTTCTTTTGTAAAATAATACACGTGAATTCAAGTTTTTTTTTTTTTTGAGCAATTTTGTTTTTTAATATTCTATGTAAATTTTTTGGCGTAAAAATTAATTATAAATTAAAATATAATGATAAATGTAATAAAATAAGTATATGATGTTTTGAGTTGTTAATTTATCTATATAAGTTCATGATAATTTATAAATAAAATAATTAAAATTAAAAAAAAAAAAAATAATAAAAATTATGTTGTATAAAAATGATAAGAATTTTTTTTACTATTTTGATTTTAATGATTTAATGTTTTTTGTTTGCTGTTAAAATATTAAAAAATTGGAAATAAAAAATAAAATATATTGAAAAAATATAATAGGGTTTGTATGTATTACATATTTTTTTTATCCACAATTACTAAATCTTACGGAGTCCATTATAGAAAAATTTTTCAATTTGGAATTTTAAAAATACAACTATTTCTATATAGTTATTAAATAATGTATGGACAGGAATTTTCCTAAATTGGAATTTTGTTTAAAAACCATATAAAAAAAAGCAGTTACTAGAAACTTATAACTATTACACTTTACCATGAAAATAATTGCAGGAACTCTTTGAAAATTTAGTTTTAACTTAGAACTTAATATAAAACATGTTCCATAAAACTACAAAAGAAAAACGTTCAAAAATCTTAGCATGCTTGAAATTCTAAAGCTTTTATTTTTCAAGTTTTTGTCACCTAGAAAAATGTAAAATTAAAAATTTAGAAAAGTGAAATTAGTTCCTGTATAGATTCAATGATGCAAAAAGAAGAAAAGGTTTTTAAAATTAAAGTTGGAACTTTAAGTGCAGATCTGGATTATCAAAAATCTTCCTATTTTAAAAACAATTTAATATTTACTCAAGAAGTGAAATCCACATTCTGTTTTATAAAAGAAAAAATAAATCTTACAATAAAATAAGCAAATCAAAAGAAAATTATACATTCTAATATCTATACTAATTCATAAAGAGGAGATGTTTAAAAAGAATGTCGAAGCTTTGATATTTTTTCGGATTTGAAAGGTTCCATTTTATATCCATGTAAGTATGTATGTAGTAAAGTTTATTAATTTGGAAAATTTCTTATCCGAAAATAAATGGTTCTGTTTTTTCCATAAAAAATGTTATACAAATTGTGCTTTCCATTACATTATAAAGCAACCTGTGCAAGTTTTGACGAGAATATTCTATTATATATGTATATGTATATGTAATTATTATTTTTCAACCAATTAAATTTTTGCCAAGGAAATTTAATATTTTAGGTGCTTTCCTCTTAGATAAGATTTAATAAGAATTCTTTTTAAATTTTTATTCTAAAATAAAGCGTGTTAAATAATTTTGATACGCTACCTTATTTATTTAGCAAAATTGTAATAAAATTAACAAAATATTTTTCCTTTCAAAACTATCGTTTATGGCCAAGATCTTTTTGCAGCATAACCTGGATATTTATTACGATATTTTAATCCAGTTACTAAAGTTGAACTTTTTGGAAAAGCTGTTTGTCCATTGAACATATTATCGGTTTCGGGATTAAAACGTAAATAATCTGATTGGATATGAAGATTTTCAGGTAAATCCATCTTTTGCAAGGCATCATAAGGCACTGTTGTATCAACTGGAGTTTCATAAAATTTGATTATATCATCTATAAAAGAATAATAGTTTTGTAATATTGTTTTTGTTATTTAAAATTATAAAATTTTTTTTTGTTTTCTTTCGAACCTATAGTCTCTATTTCATGAAGTGCAGAATTAGGGACACTATGCTTAAATTCTTCAAAACATGCACTTAATAACTTAAATTTATTATCAATGTTGGTAATTGATTCAATTTGTGTTTGCGATGTTATCTGTTTTATTTTCTCTGCTACATTTTCCGGTGGTTCATATGACTTGATTGAGCGTAAAAATCTAAAAGTCCAGAAAAATATTGAAATATTAAAAAAGTTAAAGAGTGTACAGGAATTATGAAGGGAAAAATGTATGTATTGTTTAAATAATAAATTTGTAAATACATTCACTATTTGTATAGGTATGTACTCACCCTCTGGATGCTATAGAAGAAGCAACGGACTCAATTTTTTTTTGTACCGCAGGTTGATTTTTCGCTTTTTTTGCGTAAAATCTTCTTGACTCAGTGAAAGCCTAAAATTACACCTTGAATATTTCACTAAATGATATTTTGCATAAAACTTACAAGTCTTCTTATTGAAGCGGTTGTGATCATCTTATATTTTCTAAAATATTTATTTTATTTATTTTAAATTAGCACACTTTAAATTTTTTTTTCAAATAAAACTTAACCTTATGAGAAAAAGTAAAAAATTTAACGAAGGTAAACACTGTATAAATTTTATTGGATCAGCTGTCTCGTCTTTGCAGAATTATCAGGGATAAAATAATGGCGATTTAATATTTTAAATATCGATTTTTAATTGAATAAATGACATTTTGCCTCTATCAAATAATGTGGTAAAAAATGTGGTAAATAACTTCATTCTAACTAAATCGATTTCATCGCAAATTAAAAATTTAATAATTGTAATATTAACAGCGATATTCATGTTGACTACGATTGTGCAAATTTTACAATTTTTAATAAGCCAATTAAATACAAACAAATTTGACATTTCATAAACTGCATAAACTGTATGTTTGTGCAGTTGAAAGAACTTCGGTTTAAGTTCTTCATCTTTCCAAACTAGAATAATGTTATGAAATTCATAGTTAAGAAAATTACATGTAATGTACTTTTAAAATAATGGATTATTGCAATTTTTCTATCACTCCATTGATATGGAAATAGTAAATTATTATTTATCGAAACCATATGTATAAATGAAAATTTTAATTTTAAAATTTAATTACATACTTTTCTTTGATCAAATGTTAAAACTTGATTTTCAAACGATAATTGTTTAATTATTTTAAATACCATGTACTTTAATGTTACAGTCTTTGTTAAAAAAAATTTATAATTACCTACAACTTGTCCATCATAACTTTCAAAAGAAATCTAAGATTGCCAACTACAAAATAGAAAACAAATATATTAATTTGGTAATATTTGTTTTGGCATTAGCATATAAAAAAAGGATTTTTTAAGGGAAATTTTTTATTATATATTTTTTGTGTGACTTATCAATGTTTCACATGTATAACAAAAAACTATTGGGAGGGAAATTAACATCCAGTGATGCATTTTTATGAAAATTTTATACCAATAAAATATTTTATAGGGAAATGCGCATGAATAAAAAAATGTATATGAAATACATTTGAATAAATATTTGATATGAATAAATGTGAATGACAAATAAAAGAAATTAATTTTAAGAATATTAATTCCGGTATATACATATGTGTGTAAGAAGTTGTTTACATACGCGACAAAATTTATGATTGAACATACGCGTCTAATGTCTGTTTAGACTTTAGAGTTTACAGAGTCTTTACAACAAAATTTAAGAATTTAAAAAACATGTTCAACACCTGATATAAAAATCTGTTCGGTGTTCAAAACTCTGCATTGTAACCATTGTAATTCTAAAATATCTGACAGAATTGTGAATAGAGTAATATCAAAAATGGTTAATATTATACATATGTACGATCTTCATCTGACTCAGGTTAAACTTAGATTTTGTCATATATATACACAGTATCTGACAAAGCAACTAGCTTTTTGATTTAATTAATATGATACTTTGTTGAAGATACATCTACAAGAATTTGGGTATATGCAGATACGTTACGTATATACGTAAAATAAAATTAATGTCGATATTGACAACATGATAATGTGATTTGTTACGATACATGTAATTACTTCTAATTACATGTTGTTTTTGAGTACATTTACTTCAGTAATTCCGAAACTATGATGTGGAAAATAAATACCAAATTCTTCATATTTACATAATATATACATAGATTTGTTTTGACATCTAAACAACAGAACTGCATTAAATTCACAATATTCTCTATTACTTCAGGTGTAATTTGAAATATTGTGTAAATGGCATCCAAGCAATATTGCATTTATCAATTACAATACACAACAATATGACATATTTTTTAGTACAAAATTAAATATACAATTAAATTTAAAGTTTATAAAGAATTGTTAAATATATCAAAACAGATTATTTCGCAATTTTTAAACTGAATATTCCATTTTTTTTTTGTAATATGAATTTATATTTTTCGTAGATTTCAACATACAATAGTACTTAGTACTATTGAAAAATTTTTTTAATAATTTTTAGTACTTTTTTGCAACACTGATGTAATATCGAAAATTCTAAACAAAAAAAAAAAAATATGGTACCAATTTGTATGGTACTTTTTAAATGTCAAATAATTCGAGAAATAAAAAATATCTTTTTAGAGAATTTTGAATATTTTTTAGAGAAACATATGTTATATATTAACGTATTAGAGACATTAGAGTATATAACATTCATATGTGTGTTAGTTTTATATAAAAACATTAATTTTAATAAATATTCTCCTCATATTTGAGAAAAAAATCATATATATGTAGATATTGTATTGTATATCAAAAGTATTTGACATTTAATAATAGGAGGGGATATAATTCTTTTATATACATTATTGTATAAGTATAAATTAATAATAATAAAAAATTTCATATGTGTGTGTTATAATATGTATTATTTTTGTAATACTTCAATTATATTCATACATGTATATAATATATAATAACATTTTAATTTTGATATCATTTTTAAATTTTAATAATTACATTTTATATATATATGTATATATATTTGAGTAATATAAAATGATACATATTTATATATGTACACATATGTGCATATATGTATACAAGTAAATGTTTTCATTATATAAATACACAAGTGCGTTAACATCATACTTATTACTTAGTATACATTTGAAATATTATTATATCAATAACATATTTCATATACATATGTACCAATGTGTATATATATACATTCATTCATACGTATATTTACCTATTTATTATCTATAGTAGTTAATTATTTATCAAAAATTTAATTTTTTTTTTTTTTGTAAAAAAAAAAATATTTTGAGCAAAAGCATACAACGCAAACACATATTATTTTTGAATTGAGAAGAGAAAAAGGCCCTGAAATAAAAATTATATTTTTGTTAAATATTAACATACATATTGTAGGTACATACGTATGTACATACATAAATTTCATATCATCATGAATTTATAAATTTTACCAACTTCTCACATCCTTATTTTAAATATTTTTAATACATTTCTAATAAATTTTTAATATTTTATTAAATATAATGGTATGATTGCATACATAAGTATAAATATGTAGGTGTTTTTTATTTTCAATACAAAAAATTAAGTAAAAATACAAAAGAGAAAATGAAAATTTCATAATTAAAAATCAATAAAAATTTTACAAAAACAATATTTAATTTTATTTTAGATGAAAATTAATTAATTTTTAAATAAAGTTTAATCTTTTTCTTATATACATTATGTATATAAAAATGTATATAATACACATTGTACAACCTACCTATTATACTTCTTTTTTAATTTTACATAAAACATATAGTGTATATAAACATTTATATGTATATGCATGTATGTAAATATATTATAAATTAATTAAGAAAAAAAGAGAAGACTATTTTACATATTATTTAAATTTTATATTGGGGTAATTTTATTTTTCCTTCTTTTTTTTTGTTTCTTTTTGATGGGAATAAATGAATTTTGAAATTTATCTTAGTATTAGTTTAGTAGCAATAATTTTTTATTATGCATATATATGTATATTATATTTTCAGTACAACAATGAATGTTTGCAAAAATAAAAGCAAAGCAATAATAAAATATAAATTTTTTATACAAAATTCATGTTAAAAAAAAAAATTGTACCTAATGTAGGTGTGTGTTAGTGTATAATTTATATAAAAAGAAATTTTCTTTGAAAAACAACCTTCCTCTCTCTCTCTCTTTTTTTTCTGTAAAATTTATATCTTTTAGAAATGTAAAAATTTCCCATATATTTTTTTTTTGTAGTTGACTACAAATATCTTTGTATATTGAAAAAGTACCAGAATCTTTTTTTTCTCTCTTTTCGTTTCCTTCTTTTATTTTTTGTCTTCTTTATTATGTTGCTATGCAGTTATTCATATTTCTTTTTTAGCTTTAGCTCTATTATATTATACTGTTTAAAAAAATGAAACAACAAAAAAAGAAAAAAATAACCAATTTCATTCGACATCAGCCGCCATTTTCATTTACAGTCTTTAACGTCGTGTCGATTATTGCTGTCGTATTGTCGGAATGTGACTTGAAAAAAAAAAGAGAAAAATTAAATTATTAAGGGAGAAATCTTAAAATTAAATTTATAAAAAAGTGAAAAGGATTTTTTTTTAATTAATATGAAATAATTTTATAATAAATCCAAAAAAAAAATTAATGTAATAATTAATATTAATATATACATATATATATAAAAAAAATACTTAATATAAATACATGATACAAGAAAGATATGTACATATACATACATACATATAATATGATCATAATAAAATATAATTAAAACTGTTATAATAAAAAAAAAAAAGGAAGAAAAAAAATTAATAATAATTATTAATGTAGAAAAGAAGTAAAAGAAAAAGTGAAATTTATTGTTTTCTGATACGTAGTTGAATATCCAATTTATCAAAAAAAAGAGAAAAACAACAAAAACAAAAAAGAGAAGAAAAGTTTTCTCCGTTTTCTGTAATTTTTTATAAACACACATACATTTATATAAAAAAAGATATAATTATATATTTATAAATATTAATAACTAATTAAATAATATTCCATATAATTTATTTATTAATAATAAATTAATATTTTAATATCAAAAAAAAAAAAAACAGAAGGAAAAAAACCTTACGGTAATTTTTTTGAACAAAACATATATACATAAGCACTACGAATGCATATATGTATGTTGTACTTTATTAATATAAATGTAGCGATATAAAGAAAAAAGAAAGAGAGAAAAAAAATTATTTCATCAACCCACATTTTAATATTGTAGAAAAAAAATTTTCTTAATTTTTAAAATCATAATATTAGAAAAAAATTTTCTTTTTTGACATTTCATAAAATTAAAAAAGCAAAAGAAATACCGGAAAAAAAAAATTTAATATCAAAAATATGTAAAGTAAAATTATAATTAGAATTTTTTTTAAAATAAAATATTTGAATAAAAAAAAAATACACACATATAAAATTTTTAAACGAATAAATTTTATCCAAACACATACTTACACATACGTGTAAACGTATGTAAAAAATAAAAATTAAAAAATGCTTAAAACTTAACAAGGTATTGAAGAAAAAAAAATTAAAAAGGAAATTTTTTTTTTTTTCGGTTTCATATAAAAATACATGAATAAATATATAAAACACACACTAACACATTATTAGTACTAAGTGTAAAAAGAAAAAAAAAATAGTGTTGGGAAAAAACAATTATTTATCAGAGAAAAAAAAAAATTTCTATAATAAAAGTTAAAATTAAAAAATTTTTTTAATATTTATATTTAAACAGAAAATACCCAAGAAAATTTTATATTAATTTTACTTATGTACTTACATACATAATGTAATAACGATAACGGGTTAATAAATAACGAAAACAGAAGGGGTTAATTTAAAAATAAAAATAACCCAAAAACAATATAAAAAGTTAAAAAAAATAAAATAGAGAAAAAAAAAACTTCATAATTAAACAGAAATCAAAAAAAAAAAATTTCCCATTTTAGGAAGTTTTAATTTTTTTTTGATTTTATTTTGTTCTCTTTATTTTATATGTTTATTTGAATTTTTATTTTCAAAACTTGTTTGTATGTAATAAAAAAATGTGTGTATACTTTGTTATTGTATGCACAAACTCAATAAAAAAAAATTTAATTTTGCATTTTGTTTTTTTTTTTAATTTCAAATAAAAGTATGAAATAATATAAAAAAGAAATTAATAATTTCATAAAAACAAAGGTAAAAAAAAATAATAATTTAAAGAAAAAATAACAAGCAAGTAAAAAAAAAAGTGGAAGATTGTGAATAAAAGAAAATTGTAAATTACAAATGTGTTTGTGCGCGTGTATAAAAGAAAAAACTTTTATAAGATTTTAAAAGTGTTATATTTTATAAATAGTATAAAAGTATAACAAGTACTAATGTACTTACTTATATTTCGTTTTTTTCCTTTTCTACCTTTTATCTTCAATTTTAATATCTTAATTTTTTTTTTTGTTATATTTGATTGTACAGTATGTGTATATACAATATATATACACACTCTCTTTATTGTTTTTAAAATAATTTTAAAATTTAATGTCTTAATTCATTATTTTCTAATATTTAAATTATCTTAAGTTTTTTATTATTATAATTAATATAATTATTAATTTCGAATAGAATATTTTCGAATATTTTCAAGTCCAGTATACTCAGTATTTATTTTTATAAAAAAATATAAAAATTGTGTTTTCCTTTTCTATTCTTTTCTCTTTTTTTCTTACATCGTTTCTCTTTTACTTATCTCATGTACTCTCTCTTATATGAATATAAAATCTGAAGTGTATAATATTCATATGTATTGTGTATAAAAATAATTGATTGTATTTAATTTTAATCTAGAAGTTTTTTTTCTTCTAATAAATATAATATAATAAATATTTTATATTTATATAATATTATAATTATAAAAGTGTTAGTTTAAAATATAATTTTGTGTTAACGTGTGTGCGTGTGTAATGCGAAAGAAATAAAAAATAAGAAAGATGAAATAAAACAAAAAAAATTTATAGGATAAAGTGTTTTTTTTTTTTTTCAGAAATAGGGGAAAAATATAATAATATAATAATAATTATTATTAAATTATTTGTATAATAGTTATTATTTAATTATATACATATAATATTAAGTATTATTAATATTATTAATAATTATTTAATATTTTATTTTAATATTTAATTTTTTTCTCATCTATTTTTTTTTTCTAATTTTTTTTTATGTGGATATCAGAAAAAATATACATATAGTGTTGATTAATATTGCAATTCAAATTAAGTATGAAAAAATATACAAAATACAAGTAATATTAAATAATACGATTAGGTTAAAAAAAATAAAAGAAAATATATAAATACTATATACATATATGTATTATTAAAAATTAAAAAAATATATAAAGCAAATAGATTTAATAAACTAAAAAAAAAATATTTCTTAAGAACAAAAAAGAAGTTCTTTTTTTATGTACTTAATAACACGCACTCATACACTCATAATATACTCTTTTTTTTTTTTTCATTCTCTACTACTATAATGTTTCATATAGGCGGAATACAACAGCAGCAACAATAATAATAATACATGCATGCAAGTAAAACAAAAAAAAAATCTCTTTCTACATCGCATTATGATGAATTAAAAACGATAAAAGGGGAGAAAAAGAGAGAGAGAGAGAGAAAAATATTAAAATTGTTTTTAATATATAAATTTATTACAGTGTAAATTGTGAATTGTGACAAAAAAAAAAAATATATATATAAAAACATAATAAAAAAAATTCTTATATTAAAATTTCTTTAAGTGTAATGCTAATAATCTATTATATATATACTTAATTTGTATATATATATAAAAAATATTTTATATACAAAATATACTTCTCAATATCATAAAAAAAAGAATATATGTAAAAGAAAAATTTACATAAAAAAAAAAATTATATTTGTACATACATACATGTATTTTTAATATATACATATATATATACATACATAATATAATAAAATTTAATAACAAAAAAAAAATATATATATTTACTTATATAAATGATAATTATTTGTAAAAAATGTGGTTAGGCATATCTCATTTAAAATCTAATCAACTATGACGCATCATCAAACTAACGGCGCAAGTTTAGAGGATTGCCATACAAATTTTTTCGCTCTGGTAAGTAAATACTTAGTCGGTTTTCTCTTCTTCTTACACAAAATATAAAAATATTTAATTAAATAAAAAATACTTGTAAATAATAATTATTATTATGTACATACATGTCTATTAGTATATGGTAGCGAACGTGTCTACATTATGTACATTTGGTATACCAATTAATTTTATTATTTAAATAAAAATATAAGGCAATGATAAATTTTTAGGGTATTAGGGGCAACACACCTTTTTTTTCAATAAATTTTTAGTACAAATATATACCTCTTACTTTATTATTTATTTAATTTTTAATTATAATTAATAAAAAAAATTATGATTATATTCTAGTATATAGGTACATACATACATATTTGTATTACATAGTTTTATATGTAAAAGAAAAATAAACAGCACTATTATGCTATGGAAAATATGCAATACATGCATATTATATAATAAATGTATGTATGACCGTATGTATATAAATGAAGAAAGAAATTCTGGAGTATTCTTTTCATTATTTTTATTCCTACTCTAAATAATAATCTATAACTGTGTTTTTTTTTTATCTTTTTTACCTACCGAATTTTAATTTTTATGAAATTTTTTCTTTTTATGATATCAAAATAATAATAACGTTTTTAGGCAAGTTAAATAAGAAAAGAAATTAAAGTCAAAAAGAAAGAAAAAACACGTAGGAGAATATTACAAGATACAAACACACATTCATACGTTCATATATGCTTAATATATAATATAACTTGAAGTTCATAATGCATACTAACAAAAAAATATACATATACAAAATAATATCATAGTCATAGCTATATTGTAGATATTTTCGTTAAAAAATCATTTATAAACGAAAAAAATTTGTATAAAGAGAAAAAATATTAAGTATATATTAAAATGAAAAGAGAAATACAGTTAAATTGAAATATGGCCGTATTATCCAATATATAATGGAAATATATTACAAGATCGTTTCACACAAATACAAACAACAAGTATTTTGTGTTCATAATTTGTACGCTCTTAATTTTTTTTTTTAATTCTACAGAATTTATAGGGTGTGTGTGTGTGTGTGTGCGTGATGATGTTGGGATTTTCTTTTACAGAAAATTTTAATTTCTGTTTTTGTTGTTTTTTTTTTTTCCAACTACATTATTTCAGTAATTTTTTTTTTTACAAATTATCGTGATAAAAAAAATAATTTAATATAGGACAATGTGAAATATTGTATTACGGTTTTCTCCAAAGGAAATTTTTTTTTTTAATAAATAAAATCAATAATTTTCAATAGAAGAAGACGAGAGGAGAAATACTTACAAAGTAATAAATATTAATACTAGAATTGTAATTAATTGTAAGTAATATGGATTGTAAGAACCCCAAACAAAAATTTTTTTTTCCTAGCTTTTTCAAAAATATAAGTAGTTTGATTCAGACCCCCATACTTTGAAAAACGAGGTGCATAGAAATCCCAAAATCATATGTAATAATTTTTTTATATACAAGTTCTTTAAAAGATACAGAATAATTTTTGAGACTAAAAAGAACGCACAAATTTTGACATTTTGAGATTATGTTTTTGCTTATATTTTCAATATTATAAATGAATTTTTTTGTCACAATTCTCGTTTTTTTATAAATTTAATATTTTTTTTTACATAATTACAGCTGGTTATAGAAAGCAACGCATTTAAAAATTTGTCTCTGCATTAACACTTTTTGGGGTGGAGACATGTGTTTCTTTTGTTTCTGTTCCTGTTCTTTTAGGTTTAAGAGCTATTTTCGTTTTACACTGCATTCTTTTTTGTTGTATTTTTAATAAAAAATATCAAAGCGCAGTCATTCATTCTATGGTAAAAATTCCCATAAGAAATCTTTTTTTTCATTAAACAAGTTTTTTCACTATTTCAAACTCCCACTTAACGTTTATCTATTTTTTAAAAAAATTGTAATTTGTAATACAATTGTCAATAAGAGAGAAAAAAAAATTTTGAATAAAAAAGAATATAAGAATATTAGTAGCCAAAATTATTAAAATTGCAACCTACATAATTCAATGTCATACCATTAAAAAACAAATATTTTTTTTATAAAAAAAATTTTTTACAAATTTATATATTTTGCATTAATTTCATATTCTCTTTGTTCTCTCTTTCTTTTTTTCTCTTTTTCTTAAAAACTTGAATCAAATTTAATTTTAGAGTGGAATTTTTTTTAATATCAATTTTATTATTGGTCTCTATAGTTTATAACTGCTATTACACATTATTTCCTGTCACAAAAGTGTCAAAAGAGCGACAAACCATCTCAAGGGGTTGCACTTTCAAAAACCTCTTTTAAAAATAGAAATTATTTTTATTTTAATAAAAAGAAAAAATTATATTTATTTATGTATACGAGTATAAAATTACAAATAATGTAAAAAGATGTACTTAAGGGGGGCATTTTATACCGTTAATATAAATATTTCCAATTATAATCTAGATAACTAGATATTTTACGATAATCAACCAACTCAGCTAAAAACTATTTACCAAAGATCCAAGATAAAGAAGAAAAAGAAAAAACAGAAGGGAGCGAAAGATGTATTTAAAGAGTTTAACATGCGAATAAATGTTCGTGTATTTTGAACTATACTTATATATATATGTGTTACAGTACATTTAATTTTGATATTTTTCTCTTATATTTCACTGATTAATCATTTAGTTTTAATAATATGTATTCTTACAAAGTCTTGCCAGATATTCAATCATACATTGTTAAATATGTATATGTATAAAATTATAAAACGTTCACATATTTTATAATTAATAAATAATAATTCTTTAATACATAATTTTTATTTATAATAAATTTCATTTTAATTATGTACGTATTTAGTCTATATTATACACATATACTTATATAATTATATACGAGTGTAACAATTTAATTTGATATTAAAAAAAATATTAATTTCGTAATGGAAAATTTTGTCTTTATTTTTCTTTTTTCATAATATTCGAATTTCATATACATATTATGTATATATAACAGCATATAAATATGTATAACAGCTTTTTGCTACTAAGTATGATAACAATGAAAAAATACCTGTATGTAAAGAAAATTTTCCAACTTTCATCAAAATCAGTTTCGTCGTTCTCGACGTTTTATTGTACTCTCCCATTTTAATTATATTCGTACATATATCCATACATACATACTAATATTTTCTTAAATAATCATTTTTACTTAAAAAATATTTATTATTATTAATTATTTAATTGTATATTAATTGTGTATTTTTTTAAATTTAATTAAACTTAATACTAAAAATTTTGCATGCGTAATTGAAAAATTATAATTTTTTTTTCTTCTCTTTTTTTTCCCAACACATTTTTAACTTATAAAACTTTACGAAAACAATTCTATACAGATATGACACTTTACCTACAGCAGATAGGTTATATTTTTATACTTACGTACATACACATATTACATGCCATATTGTTATTATAATCATGATAATGTGTGCGATGTGTGTTTTTGTGAATATTCATACACAATTTAAAAAAAAAATTGTAATTTATTTACATTATTATATTCTTAAATAATAATAAATAAAAATAAAAAAATAAATAAATAACGTAGCCTTTACGTTGATATAAAAACAAATTACTCATTCGATAAATTTTTGCAAATTTTTTATTTTTATAAATAAAAAAACACACAAAGAAATTATAATATTTAAAATGTATAAAAAAATTTTTTTTTTAATAGGGTGATTTTTAATGAAAATAATTTTATACATAGCTTTTAACGTGAGTATTATGTATGTATGTATTTATCGGTATTTTTGTTTATAAAAATTCAGTCAATAGTAAGAAGTAAGAATACAAAAATTCTCAAAGATCCTATGATTCATTTAATAAAAATTGCAGAAAATTTTAAAATTAAGTAATCGAAAATATTTTATTAGCAATAAAAAATAAAATTATTACCTAAATAATTTTTTTTTTAAACAAGTGTTTAAAAAAAATTATTGAGTTCCTAAATCACATAAAAAACTAAAAAATATCAAATAAATTAAAAAGAATCCGAATTGAAAAATTATTTTTTAAATACAAAAAAAAAGGAAAAATTAGGTAGTTGGTTTTCGGCCCTTCAAATTTTTTTATCTTATTTCTGCAATGTGATGTTAATAAGATTAAAAAAACGAACACGGGTCTAAGAAACTGCTCGAGATGAAAATATTACTAAATCATTTATTATTTAATTTCTTATTCTTTATTGAAATTCTTTGAACGTGAGTACAAATTTAAATTAATTTTTCAATTTTTGATTCTCGGATTTATTTCTTGAGTATGATCTTTTCATTGTCAAAATTTTAATGATTACAATCATTAAAATTTCGGCAATTACAATAATGATAATTTTAATATTTTTTTAATTAGTTGCATCACTTAATTTTCTATATTTGTATATAAATCGATTTGACAAGTAAAAGAACTGTATACGCACAGAACCTTCAATGTCAAAATCAAATGGCTGTACAATGCATCCGTAACTGATAATTAAGAGAACGACATTTCAAATATTTTTAATTTTATAGTATTGAAAACTACGCTTTTTTTAAAAAAGAATCATAACCTTATTTAATTTGAGTTTAATTACTAGTTGCATACTAAATGAAAATGAAAAAAGAACAAAATAAATTTTTAATACTCATTGGCTGTAAAATGTTATTATCAGTTTAAATAAAAATATGTAAGACCTAGGGTGTGATGTAATTTAGGGTGTTTGTCTAAACTAAAATTAAGCTCTAGAACATACATATCAAAATTTGTTATTTTATCAAAAAAAAAAAGCTAATAAAGTAAGCATATAACGAACAACTTATCAAATACGAGTATGATATATTAATGTTAAGAAGAGTGTTTTTTTTTATATAAGTTGCTCGTCATATGTCAAATAAGAGTTAGAATAAACCTGACCGCGAATGTCGTATCTCTCGTATCAAG